TGTGCACGTGCGTGTGTGTGCCAGGGCTGTGCACATCCACACACATGTGCCAGCGTGTTCATGCGTGTGCATCCATGCATGTGCAGGACTGTGTACATCTATACATGTGTGCCAGGCGTTTTCATACGTGTGCACCCATGTGTGCATCCACGTGTGTGCCAGGGCTGTGCTCATCCATACCTGTGTGCCAGGCGTGTTCATGCATGTGCATCCACATGTGTGTTCATGCGTGTGTCAGGTCTGTGCACATCCACATGTCTGTGCCAGGCGTGTTCATGCGTGTGCATCCATGTGTGTACCAGGACTGTGTACATCTGTACATGTGTGCCAGGCATTTTCATGTGTGTGCACCCACGTCTGTGCTCATGCGTGTGCCAGGGCTGTGTACATCCACACACGTGTGCCAGCCGTGTTCATGCGTGTGCATCCATGTGTGTGCATCCACGTGTGTGCCAGGGCTGTGCACATCCGCACGCATGTGCCAGCCGTGTTCACGCATGTGCTCACGTGTGTGCCAGGGCTGTGCACATCCACACACGTGTGTGCCAGGCGTGTTCACGCAAGTGCTCATTCATATGCCAGGGCCGTGCACATCCACACACGTGTGTGCCAGGCGTGTTCATGCATGTGCTCATGCACGTGCCAGGACCGTGTGCTCACGCATGTGCCAGGGCTGTGCACATCCACACACATGTGCCAGGCGTGTTCACGCGTGTGCTCACGCGTGTGCCAGGGCGGGACAGGGCCCGGTGCCGGCGGCGGCGCCCGACACGTGTCGCGGTCGCGGTGTAATTTGTCCCGTGACGCCGGGCAGCTCGAGGTTTGTATTTAATTACAGCGATGGCGCCAACCCCAGCTCACCCTTCTCCATCAATAATGCATGCGTTTGTGTTTATCGCTGCTTAATTAATCTGCGCTTACGACAATTAAAGGCTCCCAAAATCCCCCACGGTGGCAGCGGGGAGCGGCTGCGCCGGGCTGGCGCGGTGGCGGTGCCAGCCTGGCCGTGGTGCCAAGGAGGTCACCGTGGTGGTGTGGTCACCCTGATGGCGTGGTCACCCTGAAGTGTGGTCACCCTGGCAGCATGGTCACACTGACGGCATGGTCACCCTGACGGGGTGGTCACCCTGACGGCATTGTCACCCTAGCAGTCACCCTGAAGTGTGGTCACCCTGACGGCATGGTCACCCTGGCAGTCACCCTGAAGTGTGGTCACCATGCTAATGTTGTCACCCTGGCAGCGTGGTCACCCTGAAGTGTGGTCACCCTGGCAGCGTGGTCACCGTGCCAATGTGGTCACCCTGGTGGCGTGGTCACCCTGGCAATGTGTTCACCCTGTCAGTGTGGTCACCCTGACGGTGTTGTCACCTTGATGGCGTGGTCACCCTGGCACCGTGGTCACCCTGGCAGCGTGGTCACCATGCCAATGCAGTCACCCTGACGGCATGGTCACCCTGAAGTGTGGTCACCCTGAAGTGTGGTCACCATGCCAATGTTGTCACCCTGGCAGCGTGGTCAACCTGGCAGCATGGTCACCCTGACGGTGTGGTCACCCTGAAGTGTGGTCACCCTGGCAGCGTGGTCACTGTGCTGGCACAGTCACAGTGCTGGTGTGGTGGCAGTGCCAGAGTGGTCGCAGTGCCAATGTGGTCACCGTGGTCACCATGCTGGCATGTGGTGGCATGTGGTCACAGTGCCAATGTGGTCACCATGGTGCCGGTGTGGTCACCATGCTGGCATGATTACGGTGCCAGTGGCATCACAGTTGTGACGCTGGCACGATCGCGGTGCTGGTGTGGTCACAGTGCTGGTGTCGTCACAGTGCCAGTCTGGTGACCCTTATGGCATGGTCACCATTCCAGCATGGTCACAGTGTCTGTCTAGTGACCACTCTGGCATGTCCACCATGCCAGCATGGTCACGGTGCCAGTCTGGTGACCATTCTGGCGTGGTCACTGTGCCAGCGTGGTCATGGTGCCTGTCTGGTGACCCTTATGGCATGGTCACGGTGCCAACATGGTCATGGTGCCTGTCTGGTGACCATTCTGGCGTGGTCACTGTGCCAACATGGTCACCATTTCTGTCTGGTGACCATTCTGGCGTGGTCACTGTGCCAGCATGGTCACGGTGCCTGTCTGGTGACCCTTATGGCGTGGTCACTGTTCCAGCATGGTTGCGGTGCCTGTCTGGTGACCGTTCTGGTCTGGTCACCATGCCAGTGTGGTGACCTTTCTGGTGTAGT